CTTGGCATGGCAGCGTTGTGTAGTCTTTGCTGCAGCAGCTTCTATGTGTACAGTGTACAACTGAACTTTGCAGAACAAAAGCTGAACTAGTCGGTATGGACTAATCAGTGAATACGTTTGACGTTTTGTACTTAACCACTATAGATAGGCTGTATATAGTGGCAGAAGCCTAAAAGCTGCGAAGGCAGACTTGTGCATAGGCAAAAATCGGATGTACACATAGAGGAACAAGGAAGGCAATGTCACGACCAATATGGATAGGATAGTCGAGGTGGCAGAGGAGTTCTACAGAAAGCTGTACAGAAGCCAAAACAACCAGTATGATATCGTGAGAAGCAATAATAGTCCAGAGGAAGTGGACATCCTACCAGTAACGACAGGGGAAGTAAGGAAAGCCCTAAAAGGAATGCTAAGGGGGAAAGCCGCTGGTGAGGATAAGGTAACAGCGGACCTCCTGAAAGATGGAAAAGAAATTGTGTTAGAAAAATTAGCCACCTTATATACGAAGTTCCTCTTGACGTGAAGTCTACCAGAATCTTGAAAGAACTCCAACATTATCTTGACCTATAAAAAATAAATCAGCTTACTGTTCATTCTCTACAAACTATTTGCAAAAATAATAGCTAATAGAATTAAGGTGACATTAGAGTCCAATCAACCAAAGGACCAAGCAGAATTTTCTACAGGCTACTCCACAATAGGCGATATACTATCAATCAGGTGATTGAGAAATGCATGGAATATAACCAAGCCCTACGCATAGCCTTCATAGATTACGAGAAGGCATTTGACTCAGTCGAGACATCAGCAGTAATGCAGGCACTATGGAATCGGGGCATTGAAGAACACTATATAAACATAGTGGAAGAAATCTGCAGTGGATCCACAGCCGACATTGTTCTCCATAAAAAGGTGACAGAATCCAAATAAAGAAGGATGTAAGGCAGAGAGACACGATCTCTTTGATGCTATTCACCGCGTGTTGACAGGAGGTTTTCAGGACCCTAGATTGGGAAGAGTTTGGGATAAGAGTTAATGAAGAGTATCTAAGTAAGCTGCGATTCGCTGATGACATGGCCATGATGAGTAACTCGGGGGACAAAGTGCAGCTCATGATTACCGTACTAGACACAGAAAGCAGAAAAAGGTCTGAAAATATATATGCACAAAACTAAAGTGATGTGCATCAGTCTCGGCAGAAAACAGCACTTTGCGGTAGGTGGAGAGACGCTGCAAGTTGTAAAGGAATATGTCTGGTTAGGACAGGTGGTAACCGCTGTGTTAAACCATGAGAGCGAAATAACTAGAAGAATAAGAATGGGGTGCATCACATTCGGCAAGCATTCTCAGATCATTAATGGTAATCTGCCACTAACCCTCAATAGAAAGGTATATAACAGGTGCATCTTGTCGGTAATTACCTATGGAGCAGAAACCTGGGGGATTACAAAGAGAGTCTAGCTGAAGTTGAGGACGACGCAGCGAGCAATCATAAGGAATTGTTAGGTGTAACCTGAAGAGAAAAGAAGAGAGTAGTGTGGGTCTGGGAACAAAGCAGGGTTAAGGACATCATAGTTAAAATCAAGAAAGAGAAATGGAAATGGGGCGGGCATGTAGCACTCAGGCAGGATGACCGTTGGTCATAAAGGGTGACTCACTAGATTCTCAGAGAAGGCAAATGCACGAAGGGGAGACAGAAGATTAGGTGGGCAGAGGAGATTAAAACATTCACATGTATAATGTGGCAATAGAAAGCACAACACCGGGTTGATTGGAGGATTATGGGAGAGGCCTTTGCACTGCAGTGGGCGTAGTCGGGCTGATATAGATGAAGATGACTGCACATTTTGTATTATTGTTTGATGTGAGTATTGACATGCCAAACTGCTGCTGTAAGACATGTTCTTTCAGTCTTATGCCTGCATAGAACTGCTTTCATAGAGTTTTGTCGTTCATTCACAATCGCAGTGCTGTAAAAAAATATTAATGTCATTCTGTGGTTGTAGACCTTTTTATGCTCAAATAATTCAGTTTATACAGGGGCCTTTCTGTCATATGTGAAACCCACCACTGCAAATAGGACCTTAGTAACCCCCCCCCCCCCCCCCCAAAAAAAACAACAACATTAGGATGGAACTTTAGGTGAAGTTGAACTGACTACTAGCTTTTTATCAGTTTGTATAGTATTTTGTAATTTACATTTTATTTAATAAAGTGAGTCTTCTAACAAAAAGAAAAGGCTTGTTTTTTGGAGGACTCTATGAAGTTTTAAATTATTTTCTGTTGGCACTTTATTTTGATGTTACTGCAACATATTGTCTAAGGGCAGAAATTTATTACTTCATATTCAGTGCTCACAGAATGAGGCTTGTTAATTTAAGGCCAAGTAATGCACAGGCTTTTGTTATCACAGCTTTCATCAGCGCAGTAATGAAAAAATCCTTGAACAGTGAATGTTACTGGTCAAGAATGGGGCAGGATTCAAAGATTTTATCAAGGACATTTGGAACTTTTCTATATACATTACGTATATGTTCTCACACATAGAGCATGTGTGTATGTGTATAGTTTGCACAACTCATTCTACAGTACACAAATGAGCTCTTGTCATCATCAACGCTGCCAGCACAAGTAGAGTGCAGTGAAAAGTTTGAGGCATATGTTGGTTAGATGTAAAGGTATGTAACATTTTAGAAGTGAGGCAGCATTTGTATTCCCGGTACATATTTAGCTCGGGCATTCATTTAAGTAAGATAGTGCGCTTTCTCAAAGCTGCGTATAACAAATACGTCGCGTGGCAGAGTAAAGCTGTCAAACCATTATTATGGCTGTATTTGTGTGTGTGTGCGTGCGTGTGTGTGTGTGTGTGTGTGTGTGTGTGTGTGTGCACACATGTGAATGCATTCGTGAACATGGCAATATGTATTTTAGTTGTGCTTTTGCTAGGTGCAACTAAAGCTCTCATCACTCCAGTGATTTCATCTACTTGATCAATTTGTGCACTGTCCTGCCATTTTCCTTGTAGCAACTGCCTGAAATATTTGTCATAAATTGTAATTGATGTTCAATGACACTGTCTCTTTTTATTTTTCGAAGCGCTGGAAATCGCATATGAAGTTAATCTTGGTGGCTGAATGGCTACAGTACTTTCTGTTTCTGTTTGGTCAGAACTGGTTCATCTGGGTCTATTTATGTCTCCTGTACTCGTCAGTGTCGCGCACTGCATTTCTCCTTGTGGGACGACAACATTGCGTGAACTTTCTGACAGGTTTGTCAAATATTTAGAGTTATGAAACGTCTTAATAGGCAGTCGCTCTTTAAAAATTGAGGTTACTACTTTTGCACAGTTCCAAGCTCTTCTGCAAATGCTATGGCATAGAATATATTATACTGGTCCACCCCCGCTAATGAAGCCCGACATGGCTGTTAGTGGCTATCGTATTACTAGTGGATTAGGTGGTGATACACTGCATGCTGAAGCAGAATGGGGCCATGGCATAGGAAGAACAAGTTATTTAGCCCAACATCAGTGAAAGTCTATTGCCACTACTTGAAAAAATTGTGTAAAAGAGTGGTATCTTGACTGATGGGAATATAATGTCCCGAAGTAAGGACCACGTAATTCAATGTTGAAAACGGAACTGCATAGCCGTTTAAGATGAGCATGTACTAATTTGGTAGGTAAAGTTTGGCAGGTTTTACATGCACACACACACGTGTGTGCATGCTTTGTATGCATGCAAATTAGAGCCTTGTTGAAATCAAGCATTGTTGACATCAATGGAAGGGCTTATTAAGGGAAAGGCCTCTGAAACTTTATGAAATGTGAAAATTGAAAGTTGGCGTCGACACAAGAGATACAAAGAATCTTCATGACGCCAGTAGCGCGAAAATGTGTGACTTTATACGATGGCGCCATTACGCATGACATTGTCACTTTGTCAAGGAAGGGTGGGGCCATCACGGAGGCAGTACGAAATCATGGCAAGTAGAAAACACTTTTCAGGAAAAGCGACAGGGACAAAAGGAAAACGACAGGAAAAGCGACAGTACGAACAAATTGGTTGAGAAGAAAAAGACGACTTTCGCTCTCAAAACAGCATGGTGTTGTGTTCCTGCTGTCTTGATTCGTACTGATTTCGAGCTGGTGGATAACGATTTGCTGATCGGCTTAGGCAAATGCATAAGGGTTCCTGTGGGTGTTTTTCCCACAGTTTCTTCCAGCAGCCCTAATCATCAAACTGTCAGAAAGCAACCTTTCCGTTATAGCTGTTTGCATACAACTACCTTTGAGTTTCACCACCATGCTTGCCACAAAGACACACACACACACACGTGTGTGTGTGTGTGTGTGTGTGTGTGTGTGTGTGTGTGTTTAGATTATGAAAAGTCTGCTTTCAATTGCCATAAAAGAGATAGCAAAAAGGTGTACGCTTCTACAAAACTTTATTAGGCTATTTTTCAGTAGGAGACTGATCTTCACCTTGACGATGAAAAAGGTGTACACTTCTTTAAAAAAATCTTAGTTGTTAACGTTTCTATAGGAGACCGATCTTCATCATGGTGAGGAAGATCAGTCTCTGATAAGTAAACAGTTCTTTAAGAAGCTTAACCTTTTTCACACGCATATATATAGGCAGGCATGGTGGCAAAAGTGGCCATAGCATTGCACACAGCGAAGTAGATCCTTCGGGAAAACAGTAACAACGGAAGCGTTTTCTTTTTTTTCGACAGTTTACGCCAGAGTCTGCAGCCTTCATCAGGAGTAACAACGGAAGTGTTTTCTTCGACAGTTTCGGCCAGAGTTTGGCCTTCATCAGGAAGAAGCCCGGTGAAAGCCAGAGACTGGTCTAAACTGTAGAAACGAACACTTCCGTTGTTGCCGTTCTCACGGAGTATATGTACCTCACTATACGACAGTGTCAATGTTACTTTAGGACGCTCGGAACGGCCATAGAAAGATAACGTAGTGATAAGATAGGTTCGACTTGGACAGGCTCACCACTCGAAAGGCGACGGCGCAGCACGCCTAGCCCTCGAACCATTTATCGCAGCCGTGTTGCCGTTTTCGCGTCACTCTTCGACGCCCTCATCCTGTTCCTTTGTGAACGCGCAGTCGGGACGTGCTTCCGCGGTTAGCACGACAGCGGAATTTAGCGCAGAGCGGTCTTTGCCGGTTGCATAGCCGTTGGACATGTCGGTGTCGGCAGCCTCCATACGGCGCTCCAACCTAGGCGAGGGACCTCACTGGGACCCTGCGTCCAAGACACTTCTCTACGTGGATGCACCTGTGGGAGACCTGTGTCGGCTGGACGTCGTCACCCGAGACACGACGGGAGTCCACTTTGGTATGTGCATGAATTCTCATACTGACAGTTTTAGACGCCTGGATACGTACCTGCACCTTGAAAAAAAAGTATAGCATACTTTCGTTTTCACGCCTAAGGAGCGAGCACACATATCGGCGTAATATGGACTCAGACTCGATGAAAGGCAACATTGTCATTAGAGTTCAGGGTCGTCGCGACGTGGCGTGGTTATATCGAGTGATGTCACATACCGGTGATTACACTAAAATTTTGATGTCGGGTTTGAGGAGTTTCAGTCGGACGCGCTTACTGGCGTGGCTGGTTGGGGACGCGGGTGGAGGGGATCGGTTCAAACCTACTTAATATATTTTATTGCATGCGTTTGTATGTGTTCGTGCATATACATGCAAGCAAAACTGAAAAAGTCCGAGGGTTTGAAACCCCAACCCTCGCCCCCCTTGGCTACAGACCTCCCTCGCCTAGAAAGTTTTCAATTTTGCATCAGTATATGATGCACGCACACGTAGGAACATATCCCTATAGGTGGTAGAAACCTCTCTTTCCTTCCTCCGACAAAGTTTTTTTGGCTACAGCTATAAACGTGCGGATCCAAACATGCGTTGTCCGAGCGTCCTAATCGTCCCCTAAAACCTTATAGGGTCCCTTACTAGAACCTGTGTATGCAGCGCCATTGGGTGTCACACGAAGCATATCTCGTAAAAATCTATATATCTTTTTTGCCGTGATACTTCCACTCATGCGTGCACGTGAGGCTATTTAGGGAGAGGATGGTGAAGGACGTATCAACCACTGTGGTCGCAACGAGATAAGATTAGCACGAGTGGACCTGCGACCGAAGCAGCCCGCCCGTAGTTCACGACTATACACTCTGAGGCCGCACCAGTCGCATTCCGTATATGAGTTGGAATGCTAGGTAGCGAACTAAACTATTCAGTCAGAATAACAGTCAGAATAACAAAGAAAACATTAAAAATAAAAATCAAGAAAGAAATGCGACAAACAATCAAATAGAAAGGTATATAGTTGTGACCCTAAAAGAACGTGGTGAAAAGTGTAAAATATTGAAGGTGAGCTCAAGGAACTTAAAATAAACTAAAGTTCAATATTGAATCTGTGAGCTTCAAGTATTGTTAAGGTTGAAGGCAATCAGTTCCAGAGTCATAATGCAGGAAAATGTAAGGCATGTTTGCCGTGGTGCGATGGCTAGGTAAAAAAGAAGTTCAACTTTTATTTTTCAGCAAATCTATAGTATTGTTAGTTTCAACAAATGATGTGTCTCTCAGTGGTGTATCCAGCGACAGAGCTTTTTTGGCATACTAAGCCCGTGCCTCCCCTCCCTCTCCAGAAACTTTTTTTGCCTGCGCATACAAGCGCAAAGTGACCATTTGCCTGTCCGGTGCCCATTTCAGATATCAAAAAGGTGCCCCTCACTGAAAAAGAGTTTATGCCTACTGACTCGCAGGTCGCGGAATCAAATTACGGCTGCGGCGGCTGCATTTCCGATGGTGGCGGAAATGTTGTAGGCCCGTGTGCTCAGATTTGGGTGCACGTTACAGAACCACATGTGGTCGCAATTTCCGGAGCCCCCCACTACGGTGTCTCTCATAATCATATAGTGGTTTTGGGACGTTAAATCCCACATATCATAATCAGTTTATGCCTACTCCCCTGTCTGTGGAATTATGGGTATTTGGAATATTAATTATTGTTTAACACGTGGGGACAAGGACCTCACAGAACAAAAATTGAGCTCGGTCCTCAAGATCTCGTCGTATCAGTCAAATTTGGGCGGTCCAGATAGCCTGGAATGCGGTAGTTTAGCCTGCGATGCTTTAAATAAAGTACCGAACCCTATAAATAAAGTAAAATAAAAAGGTGAGGTTATATTAAGCAAGATAAGATATGGATGTGTACGTAATCATCCACTCGTGCTAATACTAGACGTGATGAAAATCTTATTAGACAAATTACTCGATTTTGAACTACCTGACAAGTAGTTTGGGGACTGTTATGTGTGTTTCGCCGTAATTTTCGATCGAGGTAGAAATTCTCGCGGCCCGTGTACTTTGATTCATGAACCCCAGGTGGTCAAAATTTCCACTACGGCGTCTCTCATACATATCGCCGTTTTGGTGGTTGTGGCCTGGTGGGACTTTCGGAAACCCTGCAATTATTAACATGAGAGGGGAAATGCACAATACAGTTGCGACAGAATGGAAAAAGAAATATGAACGAGTTCTAATTATTTATTTTATTTTTTTATTTACAAATACTGCATCTTGCACAGCAAGATATTGCAGGAGTGAGTACAACACAAGATAAAATACAATACATCAAGTCACACCAAATCACATTTAGTCGCATTAAATATAACACAAATAAAGTATACACATTGAGTATACACACTGAAGTATACACACTGAATGGGCAGGACATCAGGAAAGTATACACAGCTGATCAGTGAAGAAAGTTTGGCAATTGTTCAACGAATTCATCGTTTGACAGCTCGCGCAGGGAGCCCGGCAGACCATTCCAAATATCAATAATACGTATCCCATAGGCCTTTTTTTTTACATTGGCGATGCGCAAGTGAGAATTAATAAGGTGGGCAAGTATAGCGCATATAACTAAATACAAATATTAATAGATGTCATAAGGTGATTTTTAACAGAAATGGAGGAAATGCGTACAGGCGATCGCTGTTGCGAAGCAGGAGAGTAGGCAGACATATTTTGGGGGAAAGGGGAGGGGGGGGCACTTTTTGAAATGCTCGTTTGTCACTCTGTATGCCATGTCAAAACAAATCTCGGCGGGAGGGAGGGGGTACGGGTTCCGGTGTGCCACCACCTGGCTGAACACTTCACCCTGGCTGTGCCACTGTTGCCGCGGAAGTAAAGGTAACATATTTGAAAACGAGAATCGCGAAAGTCGTTTAATAATCTGCTTCTCTTGATTTTTTTTCTCTAGACGGACTGGTCACCATCGCTATTCCGTACAAATCCGACCCGAACCTGAACGTCATCACGCTGGACAGGGAACTTCGCAAGTTCGACTGGACCACTTCGCACTCCGAAAGGCTCGCTGAGGTGGACAGCGACAAGCCCACAAACAAATGCAATGATGGAAAATGCGACGTCACTGGTCGGCTATGGGTCGGTATGTGCGCGTACTTATATCACACCCATCAATTATTGAAGCAGTCCGCCTCGGTGGAACAGTGCATGGCTACGGGGCTCGGCTGCCGACCCCGGCGATCGCATTTAGATGAAAGCGAAATGGTAGAGTTAAAGAACACCAGATGGTCGAAATGGTCGAAATTTCCGGATCTATCCAACACACACACACACACACACACACACACACACACACACACACACACACACACACACACACACACACACACACACACACATATATATATATATATATATATATATTAATGAGATCTAACAGACAGTAATGCCAAAGAATGTACAGGGGAAGTTATTAGAAGTTATTAGAAACAATGGAATGTAAATAAGAAGAAAGAAAAGTGGATGAAAAATTAACCAGCCGTGAGCAGGAATCGAACCTACGACCCATCCACTTTTTTTGGGTTTATATGTGAATTAGAAATGGGAGTGTCAGTCAGCGCCATCTATAAGACAAACGACGAGTGTGAACCACTCTGTAATGCGCATGTTTGGCGTCACGTAGCACGTGAGCTTATTACGAGCGGGCAACTGATTAATAGTCCCTCGTATATATATATATATATATATATATATATATATATATATATATATATATATATATATATATATATATATATATATATATGTATATATATATATATATATATATATATATATATATATATATATATATATATATATATATATATATATATATATATATATATATATATATATTTAAGATAAACAAGAGTCGAGACTTAGAAACTTTAAAAATATGAGTCAACGCAACACGTTCTTGTCACACAGCCTTTTACTGAATGGCGCTTGTATCAGCTGCGCTTGGAGAGCCTTTTCAGTTTAATGGAAAACGTATGTCGATGTGTGTTGTATATGGTTTTAAGGCGTAAAACCGTAGCACCTATTATTATTATTATTATTATTATTATTATTATTATTATTATTATTATTATTATTATTATTATTATTATTATTATTATTGTGTCTACTGCTACTACTACAAATCACGCTGACCTCTCATTTCTTTAAAAAAAATAGTTCACGGTGTCATATCCTGCCCTTTGCTTCTGAGATGTGTAAATTTTCGCATTACGCGTCAGTAAACCAGAAAAAATCAACCATTTCATGTAACTGGCAACTTCTCTCAACACTCTACCGTACACATAATACAATGTATGTAATGTTTTTATCCCAGCTTTGCACTGTGTTAAGATAGTTTTTCGCAATGTACAGATTCTTCCCTTTTCCGTTTTTCAGGAAGCCTTCCACATGTTGTGTATGTTCCCCCTTGTTTTTTTACTGTCATTCTATGATTATAGTCTTGTCTGTTATTCTTTCCATTTTAAGCTGATTTATTTTTGTATGTGCGTTCTCGCTCTTTTTCTTTGACCTTTTTATTTTTTATTTTTTTCTCTAAATGGTGCTGTATTGTTTATTTTTATTGTTTTAATTTTGCGTGCGCCTGCACTAAGACCTCGTGACTGTTCAAGGGCGCGTTAAATAAATAATTGATTGATCATTATTATTATTACGAAAGATAATCGCGAGCTGGGCTAGTAGGTGGATGTTCATCGCGGAACAGAACTAATAGCAGTACAGAGTTAAAACACAAACAGTAGAAGGAAGAAAAACACTGCGGAGTTGTTTTCTTTTACTGCCAGTATCATACCTGCGTGGCCCTGATAGCTGTTCCACGATTATTAACAATATTTCGATATGCATCATTCATGCTCGAAGTTACGAAATTACGAGCACATTACTTGGATATTAAAGCTATACTGCTTACTTCATGGTTCTCCTGTTCGTTAAGGAACGACCGGCAAGCACAACGACGGACAGTTGATCGAGAAGGAGAACGGTTCCCTGTTCAGCGTCGACCCGGCATCGTTGATGGTCACCAGCCACGTGAGCAAGGTCAACCTGTCCAACGGCATGACCTGGTCACCGGACAATCGAAGCATGTTCTACGTCGACTCGTTCGCGCGTACCGTCTACTCGTTCGGCTTCGACGCCACCTGTGGCACGCTGTGTGAGTGTCCTTCGGCGCGTGGTCAATACCGCCGGTCAACTGACCCGCACTTCTTTACTTTTCGGGACAAATGTTTTCGTGGCTACCACTCTGGTATTCGATATACTCTATGAGAGCATTTATTTCTGTAACCACAGACGTCCGCATGGAGCAGAAGGCAAGGGACAGGCCCCCCCTAGTCACATAAGAGGCGGGGAAGGGGGGGGGGGTAAGGTCTGCCCCATAAAAAATAGCCCCCCCCCCCCCCCCTCTTGAAGTGGAACCCTGGGCAAGCCCATATGTAACGGTACTGATAGCTCAGATAGTCACTTGGGAAACCGAGCAATATATGATGTCAAATACGAAGAAAGTTTAGCGGAAAGCAGTTACAGTAGCTGATGAGGCACCGATCAGCAGTGTGTGTTTTCTGCAGAACGTTACTGCATGAGGAAAGCGCGCGGAATGCGAACACACGTATTGTTGCTTGCTACGCCCCCTACATTTTGATACTTGCGCTGTGGTCACAGCGTTTATACTCTATTGTTATGGTGACATTAGTTCGCGGTTCTTATCGCATTAGTGCTACATTTCTGTGGCAACTAAGAAACAATTAGCCGACCATATTACATTACCAAGTCAACTACTGGCGCTTTGTTGCGCGTGGTTTGCGTCTTTAAAAGGTGGAATCAAGTCTGCCACTGGAGATTATTGATGGATTTGGCTATTAAAAATAGAAGCTCTGGTACATATATGGAAGAGTAGAGTCATTCCTCGGCCGAGTTTGTGATAAACGCTATAGAAGTTAACTGCGCCGAACGACATGAAATCAAAAGAGGCGAAGGCAACAATTAAACTTCTGAAGTCGCAATTGTTATTTAGCACTCCTTATTTTGTCTGCGTTCGTATTCTCTATTATGTATTGCCCTGCGCTCTGAAGGTTTCACATGTATAAGCGCTTGTTTCTTACCCTTCGCTTATGCAGCAAACAGGCAGGTGCTGGTGGACTTCAACGCAATGGAAGAGTACAAAGACTGCGGATATCCCGACGGAATGACCGTGGACACGAATGGCAAGCTGTGGCTTGCCTGCTATGCCGCAGGAAGAGTCATCAACATTGATCCCGAAACAGGTGAGTGTATATACGCGTAATCGCTGCAGAACCGCCACCTAATGATGAACGTCATTAGCGTTCTTTTCTTTTTAGTCTTTCCGCTATTTCCGGTATCGTAAAGGCGTTATAGGGACCGCATACAGTCGAGTTTTCTAGTGCGAGAGCAGTGCCCGAACACAAAGCTTGGTGGATAAAAAAAACAACAACAATGAGACGGGATCGGTCAAAATGGAACGTGATGAATGGGCAGATTCATGGTGACGTGTGAGGGTCTGTTTTTTTTTTTTTTCGTGCCCTAACGTCAGTGAACTGGTTAAGGGGCAGTGTGAGCGGAGCGCAGCCACCTCTTATTAGTCGACTGTGCCTATATAGCGTATGCCATAGCTGCCGCCCCGTAAAATAGTGGCCAGATATGGAATCTAAAAAAAAAAAAAAACACAGCTAACAACCCCATAATCTACCTCCTCCGAGATTTCGGGGGCACTCATTATACCACTCACAAAACCTGCCGCATCGACTATTCGCACAGATCGGCGCTGAATCGACACGAATACTTTGCTTTGTCAAGCCGGAAGTTCTTCGGCTTGACAAAGCTCCGGTCCCCCAGGCAGACAGTGGTGATGTAGGTTTCAAAGACTATAGAACAGAGTGTGTTACAAAGTGTGGAGCGTTAGAGAGATCATGGCGTTTCAACTGAATATAAAATGAAGCACTGAAATGAAATCTCGTAGCCAGTGAAGGCGCACCAAAAGTACATTACTCATAATGAAGCTCCGTAGAGGGGCGTGAATTTCTGAGGTCACCACGCACGTATACGAAGCCAACCGGCCAGATCGCTCATCTGAAGGATCCGTCAGCTGGCGAGACCGTGGTAAAAAAAAAAAAAACATTGGTAATGGTATCACTACAATCTTCAGAAGTGTACATGTGTGCTTGAATTCGAATGATGTTGGCTGCAGCTTTTGTGGTGGGCGGCAAGAATGAGGAAAATAAGTGCAAAGCGGGGGGGGGGGGTGGGGATTGTTGAAAAATAAGTTTATTTAAAGCAATGCTGACACTAACTTTTTTTAAAGAATGCTAATGACACGAATTTTATTTTAAATATTTTCGTGCAGTCGCTTTTAAATAAATACACACGATGTCGACAAACACACAAAGCAAAATGGCCCCGCCACGGTGGTCTAGTGGCTAAGGTACTCGGCTACTGACCTGCAGGGCGCGGGTTTGAATCCCGGCGGCGGCGGCTGCATTTCCGATGGAGGCGGAAATGTTGTAGGCCCGTGTGCTCAGATTTGGGTGCACGTTAAAGAACCCCAGGTGGTCTAAATTTCCGGAGCCCTCCACTACGGCGTCTCTCATAATCATATAGTGGTTTTGGGACGTTAAACTCCACATATCAATCAATCAATCAATCAATCAATCAATCAAAGCAAATCAAAATGGACTCGTAGTGCTTGGAAACGCATTGAACATAGTTTTAATACCAGTACCTTTAAAGTTGAAACAGCAACTTCGATTGCAATATTGAAGGGGCGATATTGTGGTGACGCGTCAACAAAAGTCTGACGTCACTGAAAGACTTTAACTTGCGACACACAAAAGCGACAGCTGTCAGTTTGCTCTTGGTCGCTCGTGGTTCAAGTGAATGGCGACGAGTCACTTGATTGATTGATTGATTGATTGATATGTGGGGTTTAACGTCCCAAAACCACTCTATGATTATGAGAGACGCCGTAGTGGAGGGCTCCGGAAATTTCGACCACCTGGGGTTGTTTAACGTGCACCCAAATCTGAGCACACGGGCCTGCAACATTTCCGTCTCCATCGGAGATGCAGCCGCCGCAGCCGGGATTCGAACCCGCGCCCTGCGGGTCAGCAGCCGAGTACCTTAGCCACAGACCACCGCGGCGGGGCAGCGACGAGTCAATTGTCGTCCGGAGACTGTAACAGCGATTTCTTCTATTTAGGTTGCGCGCAGGACGCAGATTTCGCAAATCCAGCGAATCGTGTTGACTTGCTGTGATAGTGTCCATTGCGTTGGGGCTGGCTTGCAGACGCTGGGCGACGAAGACGTCAAAATCAACGTAAAATATTTTATGCGTGCATCGGCGTGCGGAAGAGGCGTTAATAGTGCGCACCACTTAAACGAAAAATGTCTCTTTTTGGTGTGCCTCGAAATCGTGTCACTGCTCCATTAAATGAATAGCACGGGGTAAATGCAAATAAGGACGAAAGGATGAATGACGTACCGTTAAATGTGGGCGTCACTTACAAATTATGCGTGTGCCGCTGCTTTACTAATTAGTCGTCCCTCCCGTCCACTTCGGTGTGGGTGCATGTTTAGAGCGTCAGCTTATGGTGTATACTATATACACGCACTGCAACTGCCACTCACGGCGCTGATGACTGGTATGAACCGTTATTTAGCCGCAGCTGGGGTCACGTACTATGGTGGCTCGCAGAAAGATAAATGACGTGAAGATTAATGGCGTGCGGAAGGCGGGGATGTGAACCAGACTATAAATATCCAGTCTGCCGGGCTGGGGAAACGTAGCGCGAGAATAATGCGGCACCCATTAGAGGGCCCACATGTGCGTTAACGATGTGAATGGGCGTTTTTTTTTTTTTTTTGTTAATCTGTATGGAGACTGCACGAAGCTGACAGGTAGAGTTGCAAGTGCCGCCTATAATAAGTGGATTTGGGCTTATTTCCTTGCCGAATCGCTTCTACAGTTCTTCAGTCGCTCGTGTTTTTTTTTTTTTTTTGTTGTTGTTGGGCAGGCAGGCAGGCAGGCAGGCGGGCGGGCGTTTGGGTGGGCGGACGGATGGATGGAGGGATGGACGCTTCCGCTCACTCCGTGGATATACTGTGATTTACGTGGATATACTATGATACATGAGGGACATTTTCTCAATATAACACTTTAAAAGTTTTCTAGAATGGGAAATTCTGTTAAACTTTTTGGTTATTCTGGGCTTGTTCAGTGATGAATATTTGCTTTTAGCTCGGTACCAGTCCGGAAACACTGCCGACAGGTCTCTAGCCGAACTTTTCAGAGGCGAAGGTCATGGGGGTGGATACAGCCGCTCATATTAGTTGGAGCGGTCGCTTGAAGTAAAATCGAAGAGGAGGGGTTTGTTTTTAGTTGCACGAAAATCCCAGCATGGCGTGAATGCTTTTAATGTGTGCTCAAGTGGTCTCACTAATTTTATCCTAATTGGTGATAGGTGGATGACAGGCACTGCAGAAGGTAGGGCGGCGATGTGATCGCTCTTACCACCACCCCCCTCTCCGGATCCGCCACTGGTGAAGGCTCGTGTAGAGCGAGCGCAATCAATCAGTGACACGGAGTGTTATTCTCATACGTCTCATGCGTACTAGCAGGCAATGTGAGCGGCGTGGACGAAATAAAGCGAATAAAGAATATGAAGTGACTGCGCGTTCACTTCGTCATTGCGGCGTTCGCAAAAAACAAAAAAAAAAACATGCTGCGTTCGCGTGCAAAAGTGCAAAAACACATCATGCGGTGTTCACTTGGAAAAAAAATACAACAGGTGGTATTCGCGTAAAAAAAACATTCTTTGATCTTTCAAAAACTATCAATTTGCGTGGTCAAACTGATGTGGTATATTTGGATTTCGCAAAGCCATTTGATAAAGTGTCGCACTCAAAGCTCCTGTTTAAAATTGACAAAACGTTTCAAAATAACAACTTGACAAAATGGTTTTCATCCTATCTCAGCTGCCGTCAGCAGTTTGTTCAAATAAAAAAATAAACAGTCTAGAGCAGTTGCAGTTAATTCCGGAGTTCCCCAGGGGAGCGTGCTGGGTCCCCTTTTATTTTTGTTATATATAAATGACATACCAAACCGCGTTACGGTCCCGATAAGGTTGTTTGCCGACGACTGTGTTGTTTATAGCAGAATCGAGACTGAACATGACCAAGTTAATCTAAGCAACAATCTTCAAAGAATAAAGGATTGGTGCGAAGAATGGCAAATGAGTTTGAACACAAAAAACAGTCTTTATGACTATAACTAGAAAGAAAGCACCTCTAGATTACAACTACCAGATTGACAATGCTTTCCTTAAGCGTGTACAAAACTATAAATATCTTGGGTTATGGTTCATGCCCGACCTCCGGTGGAACTCTCATATTGATAATGTATGCTCCAGGGCTACCAAGGCACTGTATAGCCTTAGACGTAACCTTTATACCGCCCCATCTGATATAAAGTGTCTTGCTTACAAAACCCTTGTCAGACCTATTATCGAATATTCTAAAATTGTCTGGGACCCTTACACAAAGACAAACTGCAATAAAATAGCAAAAATACAGCGACTTGGTGCGAGATTTATTTTAATAAATATCGCCGACATCATTCACCTACTGAACTTTGTAAAAAAGCTGGACTGGATAGTCTTGAACTTAGGACGAGGATTGAGCGTCTGAAATTCCTCTTCCAGTTAATTCATAATCATTTTAAACTAAACTATTCAGATTGCTTCCAGGTCAACACACAAGAACACTCCAGACATCGCCATAATATGTACATACCACCCCTAGTCCCACGTAACGATTGCTTTAAGTTTAGTTACTTTCCACGTGCTATTGAAGATTGGAATATGCTGCCAGAGTCTATAATTGGTTGTTCCTCGCTTACATCATTTGAACAGAATCTAAAACGTTTATTTTCTGAATAACAGTGATGTGCGTGTGTACTTTTTGTTGGTTGCATGAGACTGTAGTAGTTGTCTTTCAAATCTTCAGCGCGGTGCAAAAGTGCCGCCTCAAATGCGTCATGTGCTGTTCTGCGCGTATGTATTGCATTGCATGTGTGTTCCATTTCTTGTTATGTGTAACTTCGAGTTGCTGCTCACAATAATACCGAGAAATTATCTCGAGACCTGTACGGTACTTCTTTTTCGCAAATAATTGTTTGTACTTCCACCCTGTAACGGCCCACTTCTGGGCTAACAGTATAAATAAATGAAATGAAATGAAATGAATGAAATGACATGTGGCATTAACACAAAAAAGCACAGCATGCGGCGTTCGCTTTACACGGTTAATTCGGTGAATAGCCGCGCAGGATGGCTTTTGCCTTTCAGTCATCTTGGGTTAAGGCATAATTAGGAGCCGCGAGGGATTTTTCGAGCGAACCAGGAATTTGTCTGGTCGAGTACAGTAGCAGTGGCACACATTCAAGCTGAGAGATTGGCGAAGAGCAGGGTAGTTTTCAAGAAACTTCCTAACTTATTAGTTGGCTTACATCTACTAAAGAGACGAACAAAATTAAAATTTTAAGAATAGGTGAATGGGAAAATACGGTAATAAGAATTTAAACGAATAATACGAACCAAAAAATAAAGCAATTGAGAAAAAAGGGAAATCACGAGGAAAGGTATCTATTGCTTTTATGTCCGAACATTTTAGTGAACCTCCTTGAAGGCGTCAGCACCCTGTTCTTCGCCTTTCTTGTCAAGCTTGCTCGCTTTTTCTCTCTTTCAGCAGAAGCAAAGAAGTGAGTGAATGTCGAGTAATTCTAAATAAATTATAATTCTAATTAGCAATTCTATTAAATTCTAATTCCACGGTGCGTACTCTAGCGTACAGTATTATCATTCGCCCAGTGTTAGAATATGGAGTGATTGTTTGGGACCCCTTCACTAAAGCTAACATAACTAAATTGGAAAACGTGCAGAAAAAGGCAGTCCGCTTTATCTTTGGACGCACCTCTATAACTGAACTCCTACATCGTGCCAATGAGCCTTCAGTTACCAAAAGAAATCGTTTAATACGACTGCAATTTCTATACCAAATAATTAAAGGGCATTACAAGCTTGATGTTTCCAATATCATTTCCTTTTCTTCTGGGCACGCCACCCGCCAAAGGCATCAACTTACAATAACCCCTTTCCGGTCCCGAAATAACTGCTTCAAATATTCCTTTTTCCCTCGTACAGTAACTCAGTGGAATGGACTAACTAATAACCAAGTGATGGAGCCGTCCTTAAAGTTGTTTGCAGCAAATTTGACTTGATTGTTCACATCATGCCGTTCTATTTTTTGTTTGTTTGTTTGGTTTATGCATTCTTGAGTGCCAACATTGTGAAAATTATATCTGTAACCACCCTGCTAAAATCTGTGTAATAGGGATTGCAGTATGAATAAATAAATAAATAAATAAATAATTAAATAAATGGAATTTACATCCACGTTTACAAATATGCTGCTCAGTCTTGGTTCAATCCCTCCATCATTTGGCCTTGCTTGCTTTCGCTGTCTCCTAACGCAACGCCCTATTCGTCCACAGGAAAGCTGCTCCGGACCGTTCCTCTCCCTGCGTCGAACACCACGTCATGCTGCTTCGGCGGCGAGAACTACGACGAGTTGTTCGTCACCTCTGCCTGGAAAGGACTCACGGCGGAAAAGCATCGTGCCGAACCTCTGGCGGGATCAGTCTTCAGGATCACGGGACCTGGGAGCCAAGGGTTTCGCGGCGTACGCCTTCAACCGCTAAGCCAACAATGTGACTAGCTTCCAAATCAGGGAAGATTATACGTTTTAGGCACTGAGTAATCTAGTTTTGAATAAAGCACTTGCCTCCAGGATATTATCATTCGAGCAAGCAGAAGAGAGCAATCTAAATGGCGTTTTGAGAGGACAGCGTTGGTGCTATGTAACAGTGTATAGAGACAATGTCAGCCGAAATATTGCAATCACTCGTATATCATTAGCCGTCTGTTGGCAGGCGCCGGCTGTGGTGCGGTTGCCAGTTTCACGCTTATACATCTACTTCGATTGACGATAGAACAAGCATTCGCTTAAAAGCGGAAGTCCGGTACATCATGGTAGTTACATAATGCCGGTTGAAGGCAGAGGAAGTTGTCTTCAGCCTTGGTGAGAACAATTTTGATACTGTGGGCATTTAAAGCACGCTTCTTCACCTGTACAAAACCATCATCACCTAGTGTTCTTCACCGTTAGTGAATATGGCCCTTCAGTTGGTTCTGTGCCTCGGAGGTGACTGTTTCTGGCCACGTCTTCCAAGCCTAATAAAGGCGCGTAAATGACTACGTTGCAATACAAACTTTTTAAAAGGGATACTATAGTGAGACAATCAATCGGTTTTTTATTGATAAATTGTACTCAAAAATTACTGTCGATGATTTGCCATCATCCTTTTTAATAACACAGAAGAAAATCAAGATCAAAGTTTTAAATTCCGCGCCAGAATCTCCGCGCATGACGTCCCAAATTTCGATGTGCGTTGTTCGTGTGGTAAAAGTTAATCAACGCTGTTGCCTGAAGCTTGGTATGTTGTGTCTATGCCTGCCTCAGAGGGACGTTCATATTTATTGATTTGAAATAAAGTTTTTTCATTCCATTCCAAACCACGTTATGGCCTATAGCAGATGCCGTCAAAATCTGTGAATTTCGTAGTAGTGTTGCCACCTACATTTTCGCCTACTTCATATCAAGAAATGCCCCCCCCCCCCCCCTCTGCGCGCTGAAAATTTCTGCCCGTGTCCCTGCCTACAGCTAGCACCAACTTCGGTCGGTGCAGGTAGGACGACGGCTGAATCAGTATTTATTGTCGGGGCGTACTTCGGGATTCTGCAGAAACCGCCCGAAGCGTTACATGGCGAAGCAGTTGGGCGGCAGGCCCTTGGTTCCCGGTATGCCGGAAATTTTGAAGATGGCGCCCGCGTCTGGCTGACTCTGCAGCTGGTCGCGGGTCAGCCCGATGAAGCCCGTAGTGACGAAGAGGTCCTCGTAGCGCGGGCCGCCGAAGCACAGCGAAGTCACCAGCTGCGTGGGTATCTTCACCTTCTGCACCAAGGCGCCTGGCGTGGGAAAGAAAGAGAGAGGAATTCCATTAGGGTCATTTGATACCGCGTTGGGCGCCAGTGTGACACGCCTGTCGGAAAAAGGTCCCTCGCGGCTATGCTGCGCACTCTCACGATGGTGACTAGGCCTATATAGTGATTCTTGAAGGAAAGGGGAAAAGGCACTAATTTCTGTCTGCCCGTTGGCGACACGGCTAAGTGCCTTGTAGGGGTGGGGAGGAGGAGGGATAAAAAGAATAGAAGAAAATAGGTGGAGAGATAGAGCAGGCAAGCGACGGAAAGTAGGAGATGGTAAAGTTGGAACCTGGTCGAAGCAGTCCAAGGGCAAAGCACCACAATGCGAGAGCTTCACGGCGTCAGGTGACCGCGGAGGGCGAACCAGTCGGCGGGAACTATGCTGTCGTCGGAGATGGCGGGGGCACGACCGTCCAGCTTGAAATCCTCCGAGCGAATTCCACTGGGCCTGGTCGCGAGAGTTAGGGCGAACCTCGTACGCGTAGGCCTCTGACAAGTGCGGCTTGGCGTGGAACGACCACTTCAAGCACTAGGCACCGCTGTTTGGCTTAGCGTATGGTACCGAAGGTAACACTTAGGTAACCCGCCCGCCGGGGACGCTAAGGCACCCAGGCAGGCTACAATCCGGCGATTCAGGGAACGCGACTCGCTCTCTGGATTTCGTGCCGACCGGTTGTGCGCCCGCGATCTCTGACGACAGCGCAGCTCTGGCTGACTGGGCTCGCCCTACGCCGTCTCCTGTCGCCGACAAGAGCTCTCGCCGAGTAATGCCCCGTCCACGGACTCCTGCGACCGTGTCCATCTTTCACATCTCCTCCTCACTTCCGTCGTTTTCTGCCGTTCGCTGTCCCTGAGCCTCGCTCTCTCCTTCCTCTATCTATTTACCTTTTAATCCTATCTTTTTAATCCCTCCTTACCCCCATTCCTCGTGAGCTACTTTTGAGGTGCCGCACTCTGATGCAGACAGTTACGGGGCTCACTTTTCTCTTCTTTTCTCTTTAAGAATCACATAATAAGAATATTGTGCGTGGTGTGGGCAGTGTGAATAACGCGATGCGTCCTGTTTGCGAAAACACTGGTATTCGTTGTGGGCCGGTTGCAGTAACGGGTTGTTGATGGAACTTCACGATCTGACATTTCAGTCAAGGTAAAAATGCGTTTGCCGCAATCATCTGCGAGTGGGTATACATATCAGCGTATGCGCGGCGTGCCGAAAAATAAAAGTGCATGATCTCCGGGTGATATTATACGACTACGCATGAGCTGTAAGCATGTTGTAGCGCTGCCGAAGCTGCATATACGCTTCACCACGGCCATAACTCGTATTATTGGATACCTGATACGTGTTAATGGAAACATCGGAAATTTTTGTATCTTATCTACTTTGTACTTTTACGGCTGGATCCTTATGAAGTGACAATGCGCGTTAGAAGTTTCTGTGTCAAGCCTAAAGGAGCAATATAGGTACGAAAACACGTTATAGGTGTCAAAGCAACAAAGTAACTGTGCCAGATACTATTATATATTTTTAAGTTGTCGGGTTTTACATCACATAAATTTTCACTGAGTTATTAAGAAACCCAGTGGCAGAATTCCACTTTAGTTTTCACTCGGATATGTTAACCTCAGCCTAGCACACAAGAAGTGTTTTTCTTTACTTATCTTCATTCAGACTTTTGCGCAATAAGTGAGAATCTTATCCGTGACATCGCGCACAGCAGCTCAAAACCACGCTGCCGCCAAGGATGTACCTCGTGTAAAACTGCATTGCACATGCCACGATGGAAATTGAATAAGTTTACACCCATGCAATGCAAATATTTCTGAAAGTGCCAGTCGCCGTGTGCATCGAAAACGTTCCCTTTCGAAAAAGATCTGATTTCTTTTTATGGCTGCCATCTACGTGGCTGAAGCCCAGTGCGTGCTAGTCGCGTCACTCAGTACTCTAAATAAAGTTTCTCCATCCATCCATTTACGACGAGCAAATTTCCACACTATGAGCAGTGAAACTTCCGCGGCCCCCTTCTTTCAAAAGCTGTGACCTTAGAACATATCAATGTAGAAATTTCTGTCGAAGAAATGTACAGACATGCAGCCCTGCTATGCAGAAAGATGCCACCGGCACAACTTTCTTGCCCAACCAGCACCTGCTCCTAGAGAGGGTATGGTGGACAGGGTGCCCGCAGTGACGTCACACTGTTTACAAACAGTGAGAGGTCTATTGCATGGCCTTGCATTGTTCCGTCAATGCACAAGTGATTATACATGCAGTACGATCATGGCACGCTAAAATACGATGCATTGCGGATAATTCATGTACTACGAAGCGTCCGATATTATTTGCTGGGATTTATTTGTTTATCTTTATTTATTAGAACACACTCAACAACCATACGGTGTTAGAGGGGATGAGTACATATATAGACATGACAAAAATAAAACAGTGAAGGAGAAACAACAAATAACAAACACTAAATAAAGAAAAATAGAAGAAAACAGAGAACAAGAGTGCGCATTCACACCGCAATGTGTCGCGAAACAGTGTACTTGAGCAGCACTTTGGCCTTAGCAGCCATAAAAGGAAACATTGGTCTCCATTCTGACTTGCACCCGGGGGTGGTACTTCACCACTCGTCCGTTAAGACTTATGCATTCGCCTAAGAAGACTACGATATTCGACAAAGATGATTATGCATTGGCCTAAAAGGACTGTAACGCAAAAGCCCTCGTCTTATTCTTCGAAATACATCGTACCAATCCCCACATCGCCGAAAATTATTTGCGTCTCACGTGACTTTGAACTGCTTCCGCGATCGGGGGCATCGGAAAGTTTTTTTGCGCCTCTCGTGCCTCCGTAATCTGCCGACCCATGACCAAGTGATGATGCCATGTGATGGCGTCATCATTTGATGTCGCGCTATCAGTGACGTCGCGGTGACGTTATAAATTTTGACAATCTGTGACGTCATGGTTCGTGACACTACATGATGAAGTCATGACGCAATTTTTTTGCAGCGTAAGCGCCTCTGCCGATGGTGAGTTTTCGTGTTTGGTGGGGCACGTCTGAGGCTTTTGCCTTGATATGAGCAGGTAAGTTATATAGAGTGTTACCGGTGACGGGGTCTATCTTGACCACGTGACCTCCGTTGTAGCAGGCGACCCACAGTTTGTCCGTCTGGTCAATCGTGATGCCGTCCGGGAAGGCGAGCTCGGCGAAGCTTGGATGGTTGAAGTCTGCCACCACTTTCTGGTTGCCTGCGTTCAGAAAAGAGTTACCTTGACGCGTGGGTCTTTCCAAAAGGGGTAGCTATGTGGGCGTATTTCAATGACGTCCGCTTTTAGTCGATTTGCATACGGCAAACCTCAATAGCTCGAAATTTCAATAGCTGAACTCTTCTCATCTAGCTCAATGTGCACTAAAAATGCCACGAATATTCATATCACATAAGGAGCTCTTTCCCTCTTTTTTCTACCCTCTTATTAACTTAGGGTAAAAAAAACCTGAAAATGTCGATGGAACGAGCTTCCAGTCACCTTCACAAAAGGCCCAAATATGTCGTTAATTGATAAAGGCATAATCACTAGCATGAATTTATTGATCTTGGGTAACTGAACAAACACGTTCCGTACGCAGATTATGTCGAGCTGGGCGAAGTCCGATGTTTTGCAAATCATCAGAATTCTCTTTTAGGCAGTCCTCAAATGTCTGATGTTTTTACTCGTAGCTATTAATGCAACTGCTTTCATATAAGTACGTTCACTCAAGTTTTCTTCTGTGTAGTGTTAAGTTAATGTCTGCGGCAAACTCACTGATATCTCCCTTGGTGAGGTCGAAGTCGTAGACGTACAACTTTCCGGGCACCGAGTCGACGAAGAACATCTTTTTGTTGTCGCACGTCCAGGCGATGCCGTTGGGCAGCGTGATGCGCTCGATGTGCTTGCGAATGTGCTTCTTCTCGATGCTGTACATGGAACCTTGCTCGGGCTCCACGTTCATCGGCTTCTTGTCGATGGCCATGGTGCCTAGGTATTGAAAGACACCTCAGGCTGCGCATCCTCTGAGGACAGCCTACAGCTCTTTCATACTTCGCAAGCCCAGCTGAATTAACGTACTCCATTCGTATACAGCATTCCAAAATGGAGTTGAATATGATGGATATGTGTAGTTTAACGTCCCGAAACCACCATATGATTATGAGCGACGCCGTAGTGGAGGGCTCCGGAAATTTCGACCACCTGGGGTTCTTTAACGTGCACCCAAATCTGAGCACACGGGCCTACAACATTTCCGCCTCCATCGGAAATGCAGCCGCCGCAGCCGGGATTTGAACCCGCGACCTGTGGGTCAGCAGCCGAGTACCCTAGCCACTAGACCACCGCGGCGGGGCGGAGTTGAATATGGGTTGAAGCAGTTACTTTCTCAAAAGGAGTCGTTTTTACACCTTACTTCGAGCGTATAAATAGTGAACAGCTGTCAAAAGCGCACCACCACAGGAAGGCTGCAGGGCCGTGCAGTCTTCATTGGCCCGTTTGGTGTCGTAAAACATTCGCCGCCATCACACCTGATTATCACTTCGTGAAATTTTGGTGTGCATCAGGCCCATAGCAGGGGACGGTGGTTTCTTAGCCTCCTCCCAACCCAAAATTTTGATGGAGACGGTGTTCTACCGAAAATAGGTAATAAAAATAGCTCCTTTTTCTAAAATAGCCTTGGTCTACAGCAAGTGCCCCTCCCCGAAAAAAATTGGGGACCATCTCTCCGAAAGGAACCCCGATGAGATGCGAAGCAGCAGCTTTGCGCACGGATGGCGTCACGGGTTGAACGGCGTTAACGCGGGTGCTGCGGTGAGCGCTGTACGTTTCGTTTGAAGCGATGGCTGGCGTAGGTCTTGCAGGTGACACGTACAGACATCTTTCAACACGTGCGTTAGGCGCGCATCGGGTTTATTGGGCATGAAGCGGTGAGTAGGCTGTGCAGCGAGCGGTGGTCGCGACAGGTCGTGAAGGCGAACGGACGAAGCGGCAGCTGCGGGAGCGGCAGGAGAGAGAGAGAGAGAGAAAGAAAGATAGCGACGTCAACGCGCACGGCGAGGGGAGCGTGACAACACCTGCGTCGCGTTCGTACGGAGGGACAGCGTTACACATGCTAGTCAAAGAGTTGCTCCGCATCTAAACTTTCTGGCTCTGGGCCAGCTGATGTGAACCGTATACCGGAAGCGTGCAGTGTGAACAGCTCTTACCCGTCCAGAGTCTTCCGGCGGCGTCGCACTTGGCATCGTTGAGCCGGGTGCCCGCGTTCTCGGTCTCCACCATGGCAATCAGCTCCTCGTGACGCTTCTTCATGTCCGTCAGCTTCACGTAGTGGTTGTGGCCGATGACAATCTTGTGGTGGTGGTTAGCAAGAGGGACTGCGAATGGGATTGTGCCCTCTGCGAAAAAAGTGTTGGCATCAACTTGTGAAACACCGTTCGTTGCATGCTTCATGAGCCATTACTCAAGCGTTTATTCTATATTACTCCAAGTGGACAGCAACAGAATAGTTGTATACATCCTCCCATTGTCGCTTTACACAAAGAGGGATACATGTAGCTGATAAGACAGCTGAAATATAGCGTCACTTAACGATTTTGTATGCCCAAAAAGCCAGAGTTTACTCTTCGCGTTATTTCGAACGCTTTAACAGACAGCGTCTCCCTTGTTTGAGCGGATTGCTTGTTTTCGAAATACCGTAATGCGTACCGCAGTTCATGGCAGTGAGTAGAACACGTTCCTAACACGAGAGACAAATAAACTATGTGCTTTGCATCTTGTGAAAGCTCTTCGTTTCGTACAGTACAAAGAACGCACTCCTACAGTGAAAAGTGCGGCACGCGCAATTATGTTCAGTGGCACTTGCCGAAATGTATGGTGTCGATGTCCTCGTGGGTCTCGGGGTCAAGCCGGCTCACGCAGCCGGCGTAGCAGTCCACGTAGAGCAGCGCTTGAGCCTTCTCGTCCCAGTGCGGGCCTTCGCCGATCTGGCAGCGCCGCTTGGACGCTACGCGGACCCGTAGGCCGGGCATCGTGGTGCACTGCTGGTCCGGTTGTCGCCACTCTAGACCAGGACAAGGATCCTCGGTTGGGTCAGTGGACCCTTGCCATAGGCGCCGCCTGCAGGGCGACCGACTTAAGCAGCGACCGCATTATGGCAACCGGATCTGCTTCCTCTTCTTCTTGACCTCCACACATGCCACGCTGTCACAACAGCGCGAGCCACGGATATTGTTGTTGTTTTTTTTTTTTGACAGAGCATTCATTTTGTTTTGCTGCTATTGTTTTTCCTTCTACTTTATGGCACTTACCCACTTGAAGGAATAGCCAATAATTCGAACCAGCGTGTCTTCTTCTTCCTTGCGCTCCGCTAAACTGGGTTATAGTGTACTAGAATATACTGGTACACTGTAACTGGGCCTCGATTTCGAAGCGTCCTTGTTTTCGGGTGTGGCGGCTATGGCGGTTTCTTTTGTCAATCCAGTTCATTTTATCGTATTTTTTTTACAGTAAAACCTGTGCCGTCGTCGTAGTCGACTGATAGTAGGAGCCATAGGCATGGAAACGGGGAGAGGGGGAGGGAATCGCAAAGTGTGCCCCATGCATGGACACTAGAGAGGGGGAGCTGCGACAAACGATCGCCTTCCCCTGCGCACACTAGTAGTAGTAGTAGTAGTAGTAGTAGTAGTAGTAGTAGTAGTAGTAGTAGTAGTAGTAGTAGTAGTAGTAGTAGTCATGGTGATAATAGTAGCAGTAGTAGAAAGCATAATGATGACGATGATTACTTTCTTAACATATAGTCGTCGACATCATCATCATCATAATTAAAACTTTGGTGGCTTTATTTTCGTTATTCTTTAGCCAAAAATAACGCGACGGTGACATTTGCGATGGCACATATCCGTAACAGGGCATTTGTTCAGAAATGGACAGCCTGTATACTTGTTTGATTGAGGCCCCTTTACGCGGCATGAATGGGAGGGCCGGAAGCCTCCATGGTCCGTCTGGGGAATCACGCATTGCCTCATTTAGTTTCTCAACCATGTCATAGGATAGATCAGACGTAGTGCGGAGCATTACAACGACTGCGATTGCATATGTTTAATGAATATACAATTTTCTTTTTGGAACATGGATGAAGACACGCGATAGATAGTCGAGGCTATAGCTCAAAAGAAGGTGCCAATGGTGTTAACGCCTCCTCGGTTGCTCTGAGCGCAAGGAAAATCGCACATCTGGAAAATTCTGCCTTTCATGCACAGTTGTTGTTCCTGTCCTCGCCTTGCTACGAGTACTAGACATGACCCCCCCCCCCCCCACCCTCCAAAAAAAAAAAAATCAGTGGTTAGTAGCGCACGTCTTGTAGTCTTCATTTGTCCCTGTCTTTTCAGCGCTGTACGGAATCATCCAGCGCGAAGTGTCAGCCATTTAGTCGCCCCGAGCATGCCGAGGGGGTGATGGTAAGAAGGCGATGAGACACCCAGAAGTGACGTCACCAAGCGTCATGCCTGTGAACATTTTATCCCTCCCCCTTTCTTTTTTCTGACTTCGTTGGATGTTGCTTCTGCTTCATACGTGCGCAGTGGCGTGACGTGGCTCGTGTGCTCTCCGTGATTATCCTCGCGTCCAGATGCTACTGCAGGGAAGGAAAGCGATTTTACTGTCATATCATTACATTCCCTACGAAGCGATAGACCCAGCCAGCGGCGTTACTGGCGTTATCGCCAGAAGGACTGCCTTGACCACCACCAAGTGACGGCGTCATCACACGGGGTCATGCAATCACATGTCAGATGTTTTGTCGTGCGGACGTCGACTCGTATTCGTAAGAGCAAGGCACGCCGTGCTTCTACACTCCGTACGAGTAAGTGGACTTGAGTGCCTCAAACCTTGTTTTATTGACGTGAAATAGTAGTACATGTCCTTCGTAAGCAATAACATCTGACTCGCTCGTTTGCAGGGGCGTCAACTATTGAGCGGCAAGTTTTTTCATGCCCTGTTCGAGAAGTGTTGTTGGCCGGCAAAACGCACTTGAACGTGTTCCACTGGTCCTTTTTACCAACAGACCCCGTCGGTACTTGATAGCCTGCGCTCTAGGGTCACACTGCATGGTGGTAATACGGTAAGAGTGTAGTGCCATCTGAACCAACGCCGGTCTAAACGTAGCATCGATAATTGATGCTTTAAGCATGGCGACCATATGGCATATTTTTTAGGCTGATAATTGCCGGTGCATGGAAACGTAAGAACATAGCGTTCAATAGAAGTATCGACTAGCTCCTGCTATTCCGGAGCAACCATCACCGGAACGCGAGGCTGCTAATGGGCCTCTCTGGATTGCATTTTAATGGCGATCCAATCAAAGAGCCGCGGGCAATAAATATGCTTTTGTACAACTGCGCAACTAAAAGACGTGGATGGACTTTTCCTTCATTGCGCAGTCTTACTGATGTAATGAATGACAATCTTGCCCAAAATGCTACTCCTAATTAATGTACGCAGCCTTGCACTAGTGGTGCAAGGCTGGAAATAATATCGCAGCTACTACCCAACCTAGCTGCTTCTATTAAGTGTTTGCTACTATAGTAGTACTAAGTATGGCTAGTCTTGGCTGCCATATTCCAGTTCCGGCTGGTTCCCCATACTATGGTATATTCTAAGGACCATAGCAATGCGCACGTGCGGGTTGCATGGTTTTGGCGGGAGCGTGTCATGTGAGTAATCGTTACGTGGTTTTAAACACGCGACTATACATATTACGTGATTTTATAGTCAAGTGACTGGATGTTACGTGATTTTTGGCCGCGTGAGTAATGTTACTTAGTCACGTCATTTTTAGAAGCGTGAGTAGCATAGAGTTAGTAGTCACGTGATGCTACGCGATCTTTAATCACGTGAATTGTTACGTAATGTTGCATTGATTTCTGTCACGTTACTACTACTTGCTGCGCGATTTTAGTCACGTAAATAGATGGCCCGTGACGACGCGTTAATTTTAGTCACAAGACTAGTTCTTGGTCATTTTTAGTCACGTGACCAGATGTTATGATGACGATGATGCGTGGTGTTTTATGGCGCAAAGGCTATTTGATGGCCAAAGAGCGCCAGGGCGGAGTATGAGAGACGCGAATAATGGTTATGATAGGTGGCTGTATGAGGGCCTCAAATTTCCTTGTGCTCACGTGAGTAAAACATAGAAGTGTTAAAATTACGACAGTGACGCGAAGTGTATGTAGTAAGAATAAACAAAATGTGGTGATAATCATAACCATGTTGGAGATATAGCCACCACGGCAGCGACCGCTCTACGGAAGTCATGCTACGGAATGCCCAGGCATATGACATAAAATGTGCCTACGTCTCTTGACAATTCTATTATTTATACGCAAAAAGTGCTTCCATACCGACAAACGTATCGGGGTGAAGTGGTAATCTCAGCGTTCCAGCGGAATGGCGTGCAAAGATCATCCCCATCCACAAAGGCGGGGAGCAAACTACAGGTAAACAATTACAGACCCATGTTGTTAACCAGCTGCTGTTTTAAACACATGGAACACATCATTAACAAAGCAATTATGACGTTTCTTGAAGAAAAGAACTCGCCATACTCTGGACAACATGGCTTTACAATACACGGCGCATATTGGTTCGCGCAAAGGTCTCTCAAAAATCACTATGCTACCAAAACGGGCGAACTTGAATCGATTATGAAAGTTGAGTGGCTGGAATAACAACTAGAAAGTGCTTTCAAGTACACAAGAAACAAATTTAACATGCCGAAATCGACGATCACAAGAGCGTCGATCACCAATGATCGATCTGAATAGGCATGATAACGAAATAGTTAATTAGAGAATGGGTAGCACTACAAACTTTCGCACAAAAGAAGCATAAGCGTGAAATACACTTACACTCGTAACGCAGCCAATGTCCTAAAACGTGCTTGCTTATATGAACAAAACTATACTCCGCACTTAGAGAAGCCCGAATATTGATAAGAAGGCACTCACGTTAAATAACGGTGGAGAATTAATTCATCGCGAACTAACTGATTCAAAGAAGCTACCATGGAGCCACGGTAGTTTCAGATTTGCGCCGTTCTCCATCGCGCGTCGTTTGCATCGTTCGGTAATTGAGTAGAGCGATATGTTTCCATCTTTCCACCGCGATGCCACGCATTGCGGCACACTTCACTGGTCTAGTTGATTGTAGCATGGAATCCATGGCGCATATACCTGCTCTGGGGGATAGGCCAAGAAGAAGATGATGATGACAAATTCCACCGGACTTGCGTCACCAAAATGTGGTGCCGCTGTCTTGGTAGGCAAAAGACGCTCTGCCTACCGCAGTTTCTGCTTGGTTTTCAATGGTGCATGCGGTGTTCTCAGTCAAGCAACGAGAGAGGGGAAAAAAAAAAAAAAAAACGGTATGCCGACGAACTGCGTCGCGGTTGCATGTGAGTCGCGTCTCACAACTTAGTTTTGTATGTTGGCGCACATCGCAGCCCTCAGCGCTTATGGCTTTCACAACGCTTATGGCGTCTCACAACGCCGTTTTGATGGCGCACATTGCAGCCCTCCGTCCACGGAGGAACCTTCCTCCGTGCCTCCGTCCATACCTCCGTGCTTATAGCGGAAGTTACGTGAAGACGTCGCTATAATATTACTCATAATGTCGACATCGGCCTACCTGTGTTTACAAATGGAATGGGTCTATACAATACACGCACATTGGTTTGCGCAAATGTATGTCAAAAATCACTATGTTACCAAAACGGGCGAAAACATATATGGTCTTTGGACATCGCTTTCTTCTTTTTCGGGCTCACGTGTGCGGCATAGCGAAAATAGAGGAACCATGCGGCCGCTTCTCAACATGCGCCTTTCAAGGTTGACCCTGTTCAGGACCGGGCTAGACTGCACCTGCGCGCGCTTGTCTACACCTAGCCCCGCCGTGCCCTGTTAGCGCCGTTTCGATGAGCGGCCGCTAGGTGGCGAGCGCTCAGTTGGAGTCAAATGCAGCAGCTGCCACT